CTGTACTTTCTGCTTTGGATTTCTTCAAGCATGAGCATTGATTTGAGGATTCAATGGTTTTGATGACTGTGGGTGGTGGTGGGGGAGGTGGTGGTGGGGGAGATTGGTGGGTGTGTGGTGGGAGTAGTTTCTTTTTACAAAAGAAAAACAATTTTTACAATTCATTCAGATCTGATAAGCCGGCACTTGAAGTTACGTTGTAACGTCTGGTTTTTCTTATCTCCCAATGCTTACACTGCCACTGTCATTCTCTCAAGTTAGTATCCGTTTGGGATCCAGCTGTGAGGTCCACCGGTAAATACGTTGAGTACTTTCAAAATCGATGTATCCCCTCCAGTGATCTAATGGTGCCTTTGATGCTAATGAGTCTGTGGGAAATAAAGGTGGCTCGGCTAACAAAGACTCAACCCACTGCATATTTCGCGATTGTTGAAAATTGCTCTACGCAAAAAGTGTGGAATTGTAAAGAGAAAAGTCCCTTAACATTTGATGAACTGTCTTCCCTTATAACTCTTTTGGAGAAACCACGTGGAATTTTTGTGCTTTGGTAAAAAGGAGCTTTTAGATTAATATGTAAATTTGTATATTATACGGCATACAAGTATGAGTCGAAGGCTTTGCCAGGATATAATATTTTAATACGGTTCATTTTAAAAATGAGGCTTTCGTTTATTTAACATATATATTACTTCGCATTCTTAACAAACCTCTTTTTTTTTTTTTTTAAATAGATCCTACTGCGCCAACTTACCGTTTCCAATATTTCTACCTAATAAAAATAGTAAAAATAGTCCTTCAGTCAAGGGCCCTTAATATACCGAACTCTACCGTCAGCATTCAAACACGAAGTTCCTTTGAAAAACCCCATGTTCAAGGCATTCTTATGTAAAGTTCAAGGCATTCTTATGAAAATTGTAATCACGTTCGAGTAAAATTTTCTATTTTCTAGACTCAGATTTAAAGGATATTTGTGTGTGTTTTCTTAATGAGATTCTGTTCATTCTTAGGAATATGGGGGTAGGGGCAGAAGTCGAAAGGAAAGTTGGGGAGAGGGGAAACCAGGGTGGCCCATATTTTTAAACGGACATTTTGGTCTACTACATATACGCCAATACTTTAAACAGCTTTTTTGTCCATATTCTTAATGTATTGCAGTTCACGTTAATTGGGGGTGGCTAAAAGAAGGACCCCCATGGGCGTCACAAACTCTAGCAACTCTACTGCCAGCAACAGCGGGCCAAACATAGTTCTGTTCCTTCATGCCGTCAGTCAGATCTAGGTAGCAACAGCGGGCCTAGATAGTTCTGTTCCTTCATGCCGTCAGTCAGATCTAGATAGCAACAGCGGGCCTAGATAGTTCTGTTCCTGCATGCCGTCAGTCAGATCTAGATAGCAACAGCGGGCCTAGATAGTTCTGTTCCTTCATGCCGTCAGTCAGATCTAGATAGCAACAGCGGGCCTAGATAGTTCTGTTCCTTCATGCCGTCAGTCAGATCTAGATAGCAACAGCGGGCCTAGATAGTTCTGTTCCTGCATGCCGTCAGTCAGATCTAGATAGCAACAGCGGGCCTAGATAGTTCTGTTCCTTCATGCCGTCAGTCAGATCTAGATAGCAACAGCGG